AACATCGGCGGAACTAACCACCAAAACCGTAAAGGGTACGGCCTTGACGTTTTAAAGCATAGACGACGTCCATGGTGGTGACGGTCTTTCGCTTGGCATACTCGGTGTAGGTGACAGCATCACGGAAAACGTTCTCCAGGAAGACCTTGAGGACACCACAGGTCTCCTCGTAGATGAGGCCAGAGATACGCTTCACACCACCACGGCGTGCAAGACGACGGATAGCGGGCTTGGTGATGCCCTGGATGTTGTCACGCAAAACCTTGCGATGACGCTTGGCTCCTCCCTTTCCGAGTCCTTTACCACCTTTACCGCGACCAGACATGATAATTATGAACGTTCTAACATTTTTAAGAACAAATCCGGTAGTTCGGCGTGCTTTCGAGACTATACGGGCACAGCGCTCTGACAGAGACTATAAGAATAGGATAGGCCCAGATCCTTGATAACTCCTAGCCCATGTTGTTCGTGACAGTCTATGTTTACTTTAGGCTGATGATCGTCGCCGACAACCATAACGGAATATTTGTGCCATGAAAGGGTGAGGCGCCATGTGCAGCTCCACTGGGCAAAGGCCTGAAGATCCTTTCTAATGAGCTCAAGCTCGATGTTGCGATCTGCCGGTTTATATTGCTAAGTGACTTTTATATCGTCAGCGTACATAAAGGGTCTACCATACTGAAAAAAATCTGGAACATCGTTGACAAAAAGGCAAAATAAGAGCGGCCCGAGCACGCTACCCTGAATAACTCCAGTCCACACATGTGTAGAGTTGGAGATAATATTGTAACTTTTAACTCGTTGTGTACAAGCATCCAAATAGGAAAACATTAAGTTCAGAAGCTTGTTACGTATGCTGAAAGAGGCCCGTTTGAGAAGGAGGAGGTTATGGTCAACACAATCAAAGGCCTTAGTCAAATTAAATTAGGCGGTATAAAGGGCAAAACCGCTGTCTCTGAATTGTAGCACATAATCAAAGAAAGAGAGCCGTCAGGTGTCACAAGATCTTTTTTTGAGAAATCCATGTTGAGCAGCATTGAGCAGGTTGTTCTCTGTCAAATGATGCATCATCTTTTCTTTGATTAAGATCTCCAAGGTCGTCAAAAGACGTCGATCGGCCGTGCTTGAGAGTAGGCATTATGTACGATTCCTTCCATAACTAAGGAGAGATCCCGCTTTCAACAGCAAGATTAAATATCTTACACGGAATAGACGGAAGGATATCCTTCGCTTCAGTTTTTAGAAGCCTTACTGGGACGCCATCTGGTCCTGAACTATAAGATTGAAGATTATATTAAACATTTTTAATGGCTGTAGGACTGAACACCGTATGACATGAGTCGAGTCTTCTTCTTCTCAACAGTATGACATTTTCGCATGGTTCATTTGCAAGCGTCGAGACAATGCCGAGAGATTTAAAGAAGGGACCCCATGTAAATTAGGGCACGCAATCACATATATTTGCATAACGGAGATTTTAAAAGTAGGCTGGTTCCTCCGGATTGCCTTCATTTAGTTCAAGCGGAACAAAACCATTGGCACAAACAGTTTTGACGCCCTTGGCCGACGAAATTACGTAAGTTCCACAACACCCGTGGACACGCCGGCCGAAGGCACCCCATGCGAAACCACGCAGAATCGTAAAACGCGCGCCAACCGTCAGCACTCCCCTCTCTTCCCTATGTACCGAACCCAATGTTCTCAACGCGGTCTCTCCAGCTTACATGTCCCGAGGGAATTGCGAGATGACTAATTACACCGTTTTGGTAACATGCTCTAGGGTTAATTCGTCAACTCCAAACAGAACTATCTCAGATGTACGCAAGCACAGAGTAACGTAGATAGGTGCTTTGACTTATCAATCTGCTCACTGACGCAATAAGGTTAAACGATATTACTCAACAAAAATATATCTTATGAAATTAGCTAGACGAATAAGTAATACTTGGATGTATTTATGGTACTTTACTATACAGGAGCTAGCTCACATACTGCAATAATGTAGTGCTGCTCAATACACCACGTATTCAATTGACGATCGCCACACTGAATTGTGCCATATGAACAGAAGTCGCAAACCAACGATAAAACAGGTTGGCGGAATAGCTCCACATAAAACAACAGTGGCAGAATGCTCAGTAAGGCGGACGCACCCCTTATTTGGTAAAGGATATGCTATGGAAACTGGACTTTCTTCAAGGCAAATCGTATACCTAAAGTTAAGTTTTCGTCCAATTCTCTTTGGATTTCCAAAGTCGGGGATCATTCGGACGAAATCATGCACTCCTCCAACGCTATTTCTACATTTGGCTCTCTCTGAAGTCTTGTGCTGGATTTGTTGCACATGGAATCCCTGGAAGCATGTGGTTCAAGAACAAAGCCATCGGCCGCTGGAAAATATATATCTTCTGACAACGACCTAAGTGCCCTGAAGACAGTAATACGCTACCTGCGACTCCTGGATCTTCTTCTGCAGAGTAAAAACCGTATAATATCAAGAGACGTGTTTCAAAATTAAAACTTAATCTAGTTGGCTAATTTGAACTGAATATACCTAGGGGGCTACAGTCGAGGCGTTAGACTACGATTAATACCCTCCCGCAATACTCATCTCACAATGACAGGGTAAGCCTTGTGTTATGCTGCGTGGCCGTACATCCGCTAAACTATTAGTTAAACTCTGTTCCTGAAATCACCCAATAGGAAAAAAACCGCCGTCATTTCTACCATCAAATCTGCGGCCCAAAATAGTCAGTCTCCAAGAAAGACTGCGAGTTTTTGTGAATGGATTAATGTTTAATAATCGCAACCCGCAAAATAATGCACTGTACCTGTTCGGTGCTTCATTTGTGCCTTATCCAGCTTTGGCTGCCACCATGATGTTATTGCGTTTAAACAAGGATTTTGTAGGGGATTTTTTGGTAAGTGTACGAGACAAGAACGAAGCCCTCGGGTTTTCGTTTCAATTAATTCAATTCTGGGCAGTGGGACTTCAATGAACAAGTGTTCATGAATAACAGTACCGCCTTAATAGGGTCAATAACCAAATCCCTACAGACCACTTCATCCATAGGCCCAGATCGGCTTCAAAACACTAACAACTTGTACGGTACATGACGAGTATGTCAGAAGCAACGGAAAGTATAGCTGTAGTGCTTAAAGTGAATGACGCCCATCGTCGATTTCAAATTCACGGACACAAGGATAAAAGCGTGAGCATGTAATGAGACGGGGCGAAACCTGGTTATCTGCACCGACAGACACGTTGGTATACCTTTGTGGTATCAGAACCTACGTTCGCGCGGCCAGGAAGCGTGGTCTAGTTCCCGTACAAGGACGCATGCAGTGACGGCCATGTGAGACGACCTGGTGTACACTAACCCTATTACGGATGCTAACACCAATCCCCTATCAACACCCTTTTTTTCTCGTACTTGGAATCAAAAACAGGTAAATTCTCGCTGCGCTTTCTTTTTATGTAAAGATTACCTATTTAAGGACGCCGGAAGCTCAGACAATTTCTGGCGCTGTCTGGTTGATCGCGCCCTCATCTTCAATGCAACAATAATCTAGGTTTCACATATTTACTTCCATATTTTTTTATGTTTCATCCTTTTTGATTCAATTGGCTACATTGTTCTATTGACAAACCATTGGAGGCTTAAGCCAATTTGAATAATTCAATTGACCCAATTGAGATAAATGTTTGGTGTCTGTGGGATTCGTCCCTATATCAGCAGAGGAAACTGTAACACAGCCAACGCTCTACCAAACGATCTAAGAAGTCATGACGAAAGCCTTGAATTTAACCAAACTTTGGTCAATTTACCCGCCCAACCTACTGCACGAATGTAATCCACCAATAAGGATATAATAAATTGACTACCACCAGACAGGAGTTTCTAAGCAGTAATTTAGAATCCACCAGTATGACTACTAGGCTCACTTAAGTATGTTAAGTGTTTGCAGCTTTAAATAATTCAATTAACCCAATGTAACGAAATATTGCTGTTGGCGGGATTATAGTGGAAATCAAATTGCTAGACGAAATATTTGTTCGTGATGCGTCAGATCACACTATGTGATCCGGAATTAAAGAGGTTATTGAGTATGACTTGCTGATGACGGCTGGCCTACCAGAAATAGTCATGCTGGTCCATCAGGTTTTGGCATTTCCACCCCATCGTATGTGTCCAGCCACTAAGTGACTGCCTGCGATCACCCAAGAACGAGTCGCAGGAAACAACGGGACAAGTATTCAGATAGACTGGACAAGCACCCTACTTCCATCATGTTCACCATCACAATCGAACTCACCACGTGCCCCTGGTGCAATTGTAGATCTTTAACCTAAATGGCCAACGGTCTCGGTTTCAAATCCCGGGTGATTAACACATGGGATTCGGTATAGCGGGCTGGTGACGCCTAATAGGCCAGAAATGGTCATTACGGTCCCCCAGTCTTTGTCGGCCCCATTCCACCATACACGTGTGCAAGGCGGATGCACCATTGATAGTCTTAATGCCACTAATTGGATCGTCTACGTATAACCTCACCAAATGCTTATACTAAATCCTAAAGCACTTCGTCTATAAATGGCAGTACAGCCTCAGCAGCAGAGAATAAAAGGCCTGTGTGGTAGTCCCGATAAATGTATTCTTTCGTTCGATGCTCCTTTTTCCTCCGTACCACACAGCCTAGTAACTGAGAGTGTAGCTCGACACCTAGGTTAAACTCCCACTGAAAGTCCGACGCAGCCCTTTTTAGGCACGCTTGGGTTCTACCTTAAGAAGTATTATTATCAATTTGATGATAAGTACTACCAACAAGTAAAGCGACCTCCATAGGTTCAAGGATATCAGAGTTCCTCGCAAAACTAGTCCTTCAATGATTAAAAGAGGCCGCATATGCGGCTATACCCGTGTCTTAACGTTTTCTTTCAAGTCATACAAGTAACTCTTGAAGAAACCACAGGACGCATTCTCCCGTTTCTTGACGTCAGCGTTCGAATGCTGAATGACAGTACTGTCGCAACCAGCGTCCACAGTGGGACTCCTGTGCTAAAATTATCCCTACTATGGGAGCCACCATGCCGCGTCCCATGAAAATGCTATGCTCGAACCCTTTTCCATCGCGCCTATCGGTATTGCAGCGGCGAGTACCTGCTTAAAATACAACGTGCCCAGTTATAAAAATTGGGCGATATAACGGATACTCTAGAAATTTCCTGAAGAATAGCCGCCGACGTCAGACACTTTCACAAGATCAGAGTTCCAATGGGTCATTGGTGCAGCTTGATTTCTATTCTCTGCTGTATATGCAATT